CACCATTACCCCCTCCGCTCGCACATCACTTATTCTAAGAAGCAGCAGCAGCCGCCACAATCATCCAACGACCTTACCAAGCACGCGCTCGCAACATTCGCTCCTTTCCTGCTCAAAATCAGTCACCCCGCCCTCGCCGTCGACAAATATGACAACTCCCCCCCCATCCCCCGACCACCCCCACACCCCATCTCACTCACCAACCGCCCCCGCCACCCCGGAAACAATCCCCGCCGCCTCAAACGGCAAGTCCGCCAAATCCAAAAAGATTCGGCACCAGCGTCCCCGTCGTTCACCACCCCCCCTCACTATCCCCATTCCCTCCCATCATCATCACAACTCCACCGCCAAACGGCCCCCACCAAACTATCCCCAAACAACCCCCAACAACGCCCGATCCACCAACAACGCCGGCGGATCGTCCGGCGCGAGCGTGACGCTCAAAAACCGCGGCGCCGCCGCCAGCGCCGTCACGATGCTGGTGTACAGCTTGGTGTCGATGGTGTCGACCCAGGCGGGGGGGGCTCTGCGTTGTTGGGCTTTGGGGTTGGGGTTGGGTTTGGCGGAGGGTTGGTGCGAGGGGGTTACGGCGCCGCGGATGCCGCTGCATTGGACGAGGGTTAGGCCCGGGGAGAGGTAGGGCGTGATGTGTCGCTTTTGGAGGAGGGTGAAGGTGCGTTGTTGGAGGGTGGAGATGGTGGCGGGGTCGCTGGTTTGGGGTGGTTGGGGTTGGGGTTGGGTTTGGGGGGTGGGTGTTGTTGTGGTTGCGGTTGCTGTGGTGGGTGAGGTGCCGCATACCAGGTTGGTTTGGCCGTCGTCGTCGGAAAAGACAAAGTCTCGCGAGAGGAGGGTCTCGACGACGGCTTGGCGGTCTTTGGTGGGGATGAGGATGAAGTCGGAGTCTGGGTGAGGGTCAGGTCTGGGTTCTTGGATAGGGGCAGGGGTTGGGGAAAGGGGTAATTGGCACTTGTTGCTCTTGTGATGCAGCAGGATCAGCTGGGGGAACACTTACAATATGTCGTGATGAAAAAGATGGAGATATTCGCCAGAGCCAGCGGCGACGTCAGGTCTGCAACCCGCGAGCCCGCGTCCATGCCCGACCCGTACACACTCAGGGCAATGTACGTGTCCTTGGAGATGGTGACCGCCTTGGCCTGGCTCTCGGGCAGGCGCTTGATGGCAGGCTCAAAGACAGACGTCGCCCAGGCCGAGTTGCACACGATGGAGCACTCAATGGGCGTGACGCTGATGTTGAGGAAGCCATGGCGGTGGTCCTCGATGGTCAGGGAATCCGCCCTGCTCGGCCTGGGGTTTTGGCTGGGAGGGAGGAGGACCTTGAGGATCGGCTGGAGGAGGCTGGGGTAGAGGTCCAGAGGGATGTGGATCAGGCTCAGGGTGCCGTCCTAGAGATGTTGTTAGCATCGGGAAAAAGTGTTATTGCATAAGAAGTTAGTTGTCGGTTATGGCTAGATAAGTCATCATGGAAGTACCATGGGTATGTGGTGTTTTGACGATCGACAATGGCCGAGGAAGTGGCAAGCTTACCAGGAACGAGACCTGCGCGCTCATGACTCGGCAAGCTGCCTTCTAGCAATGGGCGCGCCCTTGATTGACAACAACTCAATGCTTAAGCATCCAATTGAGGCAAGGCGACAGAGTGTTGACAGCCAAGGTATTTAATGATTGAGGTTGCAGGTGAGGCGGGTTCAGGTAAGATCTCCCGCTTCTTTGTTCTTCCCGCACAATGGGGAAGGGTTCCAAACCGGCGAGTTTAGGAGCTACTACGTAAATACAAAGACAACACTCGAAGTGATCCCAGATGAGCTCCCAGCTGGGAATCAAGCGGAGCTGTCACTTATCAACGGTTGTGGACCTGCTCTTCCTGATGACTAGGTACCCCGGTAACCGGAGGGTGTCCAAAAAGGATTACTAGAGATAACGTGACTCACGGATGCTGTTTGCGTGTTTGCAAAGACCCGAAATACAAGTCACAGCGTAACATGCGTTTGGAAGTATACACAGATGGTAAAAAGGAAAGGTAAAGGAATAGATAAGAGACGGAGTTTGATGGGTCCCAGATGAGCTCCGCAGATAGCCTTGCAGAGACGATCGGATCGGATCAGCAAAACCCTTACAATAACACAGCTCCATCCGTATTGGAGATCAGGAGACGGCAGGAGGCAAAAACAACCGTTGGCCTATCATTGAAGCTTTGTACTCGGGATGGACTCGTGACCTCGAGGGTGCCAAGGTATGGAGCAAGCTGAAGTATCTCGGATGCTAATTTAGGTTGCAGCTTGTGGGGAGGGACGTGGGGGTACAGCACAAGATCATTGGGGGACGAGAAGGGCCTGGATGTCCTCTCCAACTAAGCTCCTGACAATGCAATGTCTCAAAAACGAGCAAAGGAAAAGTAGGGTTGATGATGAGACATGCATTTGTCAGAGAGGAATATGGGCCTGCCGCCCGCTGGAGCTGAAGCATCACGTAGCATCGACGAGACATTGGTTCCATGCGTCCTGCAGGTGGTTCCTGGAGCACCCCGCATTTGCACTTTGCCCCCCTCCCTCGACCGCCCACCATGCCGCCAGGTACCGCGTTGAAGTTCGTGTTGCTAGCAGGGCATAAGAATAAATAAGCGGGGGCATCAAAGGCCAGGACGCTCTTCAATGTACAGACAACAAGAGATACATGAGAGAATCACGGCACGGATCCAACTGCTGTACCAATGAGAAACACGATAGTTCATGCCCTTCTCTTAGGGTGCATCTGGCACACCAAGGATGCGCGGACATGCCGTGGTACAACCCAACTCCCGCTGTTCTCGCACACCAGGGACTCGGCCGGCTCGGTATCGACATGCATGAGGGGGTTGTTGTCCTTGAGCAGTACACTTGTCTCATTCGGTTTCCCCAGACTGGGAGTCTCCTAGCGGAGGGCCCGACCAACAACTCTCAGCTCCCGGCGGGAGTCGCCATTGACGCCAATGTGACAGTTTGGATATGAGTCGAATTGGGCGGCTTGTATGCCGCAGCCCTTGTTGCTACTCGCATGCCTCATACGCCAGGCGCCGTGTCCCGCGATATGCTAGGCTGTGGCAGATACTCAACTTGGGAGCAGTCGTCGTGGTTGGCTGGACGTGGGGTGGTTGCTGCTGTGCAGGGCCAGCGATATCCCGCTCCTGAAAAGCCATCCGCCGACACTATCCGACTGCAACCAAGGGTGGGTGCGACTTCCGAGCGTGATCATCCCCTAGTTTTCCCTTTACTTTTTTATGCCGACGACAACCAGATTCCGGGGGCTCTCGCGGTAGTCGAAAACCGTCTCGACCCAGCAGTCGCGGACAATATCAGCATGCTCGCGGAGAAACAGCCAGCGATCCGTCACGATAAGTGACTCTACCACACAGGCACTGAATGCCATCAAGCTCCACACTGCGCTCAACTCTCGCTTCCGATGCCGGAATGCCTCCTCGTATCGGGCAATCTCCTCGTCTGTGATGTCGCCCAGTTTCTCCTTGATGGTTTGGCTGTATTGGCTGAAATCGGAGTTGGTGGTCAACTTGGCGATGGCGCCTCGCACGTAGGCCGTAAGGGAGGTGTAGCACTGCTTGCGCAGTGATCCAATAATAACCGGATTGGTGCTCGAGTTGAAAGGGCTCTCCTCGCCAGTCTCTTCGCCATGGTAAACTCTCGAGATAACGCCCCTGTCGAGGAAGATTTTCTGTAGCACGGCACGATAAAAATGGCGCGTAAAGAAAGCACCGCTTTCCTCCTCGGTCCAGTTCTGCGGGGCCTGGCACGCCATCATGCGGGCGGTGATGTTGAGTCGGATGCCGTCGCCTCCATACGTCGAAACTCGCTCACTCATCGGGAAGCCTTGGGGGTCCCGTCTTTCCGACTCCCTGGCAACCCGCGCATTGATGGGTTGCAGGGTCGGGCGGCTGAATGGGGGCTTGTATGTCGGTGGGCCCAGCTTCTCGGTGAGGAGATTGTAGCAGCAGCCGACAATGGCAACAGCCCGAATGCACGGATTCAGGATCATGGAACGAATCCCGTAGTGCGATAAGTTCCCGCAGGAGTGGATCGAGATGGCCATCATACGAAGATCTTCCTGCCGAACTTCGTTCTCCTGGCCGCGCAGTTGAGAGAGCACGTCGGTCAAGTCGGCATGCTCTAGGCGGCCGACGACGTACTCGATGGTCCCCTTTTCTTTCTCTACGGCGTAGGTAGCCTGCAGCTCCTTCCGGGGTCTGAGGTCGATGGTGGCGATGTCCTCGTCGGATATGCCAAGTTCCTTTGCTGCGCGCTTCAAAGCCTCCTCGTCGTGGTGGAGGGATGGATCTACGGCCTCGCAAATCCGGTGGTACAGCTTCTTGTTGCGCACGCGCTTGAATCCACTTCGGCCAGCCCCGAGAGGATATCGAGGTCCCTGGCGCTGGCCATGTTGGCCTCCTTACTCTCCACGGCAACGATGTGCTTGCTGTAGGGCGGACTAGCCAGTGTCCGACCGAGATAATTTTGCCCGCTCCCGAAGTCTACAAAGTGAGTAAACTCGGCGCCCGAGGCACGAGCCGCATCCTCAGCCAGCCTGTCAATGTATCCGGCGAAGTGCGTGACTTCGTGGACTTTTTTCGTCTTCATCCCCAGCACCACCTGTCTTGGGAGGACAGGCAACTTTGGCCTGCTGGGGTGGAATGACCGATTTAGAGAAAGTTTCCTGATGTCCTTGACATATTGGATAGAA